AAAAATCAAAACTTTTTCTCAGCACTTTGCTTCTGAACAGCTCTTTTCTTAGGCTTCGAGGCACACGACCTCAATCAAATGTATTTATTTGATGCTCTCCACATAGTGTAACGGAAAAGCTTCCTCCTCAGCGCTAGCACAAGTGGCTGCTGTCCAGTGATCCATTGTCAATCCGAGGGATTGATGACTTACCAGTATGTAGCCATCCATTGATTATCGTACTTTTTGTCGCGTCGGGTTTGCCCAGATAGCCTAACATGACTGTCGGACCTTTTATGCAGATCTCGCCACTAATTCCAGTCGGCACTTCCTTTCCAGTTGAAGGATCGACAATCTGACAATGATGCTGATGGCTTGGAAGGGGAAATGACAAACAAAACAGAAATATACCTTCATGCAGAGGTTCGAGGTCAATTTACCAACACTTCCAAATGGTACGCTATTTTTGAGATCGGGAAGATGTGACGCCATCGTGCATTCTGTCATGCCATAGCCTAAATTGGAACTGATTGTGCGAAGTTGAGGCTTTCTACGTTCTTGGGGAAGAACAACCACCATTTCTGCCCTATCGTCCCCCCCCCCTACCTGGTACAGCTCCAACTAGGATGACCAGGCCAACCTCACAAATCGAATGGCTACCTAATCGTGGTCAAATTTCGGCACTAAAACGCTGCAGATGACAGTGTGTACGCCCATTGTCATCGGCAGTTGATTAGGGCTGGTCGGTCACAACGGGGGCCGCAGCGCGTGCCAGGAACTATTGCTTTTTTCCAGACTAATTTAGTCATTTTTTCCAACTTTTCACTGTTTTGGCTACTTTTTCCCAGATTAGCAAGCATAATAATCTTCGGGCGGAGGTGAAAAAATGAACTAAATTAGCCTGGAAAGCAAAATCAGTTCCTGGACACGCGCTTGGCGGCCCGTGCCGACCGCCTTACTCAGCTGGCCCGGATGCACGAGGTTACCATGAAAGGTAGAAATACATCTCGCACGAAACGGATTTAGTAATTAGGCGTGACAAAATGCTGCTCTTCGCTATGCAGCTATTGCCACTTATGTACTGCCGATAAGCATAGAAGCAATTTTACGGAAAACGTAATGCGGAACTGTTAAAATTGGGCCACTGTGCGGCTGGGGAGGAGCATTTGCTAATTAACTTAGTTAGCTAAATGTCCGTGCTGATTGGAAGGTCTTATTTTGCTTCTGTAGACTCTTATGGAGGCTGCGGAATGTACAAGGTGTAGCAGAGTTTTGGTCACAGATCTTCACATGGTTCCAGACACAAGCCTCAGCTTGTACCATGGGCATGTCCCATCGAACCGAACTGGCGCCTATGAAGTTGTCATAGAGTTGTGGTGCTGGCTTGTATTTGCAACGAGAAAACGCAATACAGGTGCGAAAAAAAAACCTTGGCAGGCAAGCACAAAATCGCATTCGCAGTTCTGACTCTTATTTCGACGCAAAAAGTGCGAAGCTTGAAGCATTGATAGTGGGAATTCCAACAAGAAAAACTATTCAGCGCTCTGACTTGGTTTGGCTTATACTGACTTTAATTAGAGCCTTACTTCACCCTGGAATCGACGTCCAGCAGGAGAACCGAGGGTTTCAAATCAAGTTCCTTAAAATGCATGGGATTGCTTACTCGTGTTGGTGGTCTTCATCCCTTCGACTAATGCTACAAGTTATCTCAGAGATGTCCGATGGGGTTGAGGTGAATGCTTTTTTCAGTCATTTTGTCATCCTTATGCTGATCTTGGGTAAAGGGACCTAGATCTCACGTACTTTTGTCATCGCTCAGCTTGGCTGACTGATTGACGAAGAGTTTTCTTATCATCATCAAACACGTCTCCGGGCATACGCCATCTATATCCACGATATTTCGGTACCTGTCAAGGAAAATCAAGAAATAATAATTTGACCAAAAAATTCCGATCTTCCGACTTGTTCCATGTTTTTTTCCCAAGCTGTATATAACAGGCCCAGTTGGTTGCTAATCTTGGTGCAAACCCTTAGCCCGAGTCGGGTTTTAATCTTAAGAGGCTTGTGCTCTACTCTCCCTCCCCTCACCTCCCCCCCCCCCGCTCGACAGTAATTTCAGAGGAAAAATTAAAAGATCCCCAGAAATTCTGGAAAAACTGGGAAAGATGGTATCAAACTAGGAAACTTAGGAAATGGGTAGGGCAGGATGGGAAAAGGGGAGGGTCGTATCAGAGGAGGGAATCATGTGGAGTCGTATTTTCCGACATAGCGAACCCAGCGGCAGGACGTGCCCTGACAGTAATATCGACTGTATGCGCGTAAAATCGATATAAACGCTTATGAAGGGAAAATTCCCAAGATGGGACCTGAACCAGTCGTTTCCCTAACCTTCTTGTAATTAACGGCACATCGAAAACATGTTGATCTAAGCACTCACCGACCACGACGTGTGGCTTCATGAAGTGATAAAAGACCTTCACAGGACATCTCCTGCACATCTTGAGAAGGTCCGGAGAATACTAAGTGCAAGCAAGATCGAACTGTTGAAGCTGATGGGCGGATCCGAGGGACAATCTCACCAACACCAGCACCACGTAAGAATTACGCGTCAGTTGCGCTTTACGCTCCCCCGGTCATGCGCTTGAGGAAATAGCCGGCGATTCGCAGAGTGACAGACATCTACTCAGCTGTTAGTGCTTGATGATGTTATCGGTCAAGCATTGGCAACGAGACAATCACCTCCTGACGCCTCCCATGACTATTTATAGTCACCAAGAAAGGAACTCAGAACAAACCTTGTTGAATGTATGTCAGATTGGGATACTTTCTGGACAGTTCTTCGCAAATGTCCTTTCCAGCAGGAGCAGCTCCACAAATGATGAATTTGACGGACGAAAGGTCATACTGTTCGCACACGGGGTGCTTAGCAAGGAATACCATGATCGGAGGCACCAAAGGCAGGAACCGGATCTGTAAAACGGGGACTTTCATTAGCAGTCTATTTTTAGGCTTCTTGAGAGCTGGACCCATATCCATTACTTTGATTTAATATTCAGCATGAATCTAGCAGAAAACCGATCACATAGAGCCAAGGCACATCACCGTTGGGGAATCCGAATAGGGGGCCATATTTGGTCGCTAGGGAGAGGGGAGGGATCGTATTTCGTTATCAACGCTATGAAGAGGAAAGGGTTATGAGTTGGGCTCGCTCATTAGAGAGAGCGAGATAGTCGTTATTTCCTTGCCATTCTTTCCCATTTCATGTGCACAAATATACCCTCTTCCCCCTCCCCCCACCTTCCCTGCTCGACAAGGCGTCGATTCCGATGAGGAGGCGACAGAGGGCCGAAAGGGGCAGGGGGCTTAAAAAAAAGCGGCGGGGTCGTACAACCCGACGTAAAATCCCCAACCAATGATGTGCCACTGGAGCGAGATCGAGGAAGGAACTACGGGGAGAGGGTCGAATTCAAGCACCGTTGTCAAGGGGGCGACTTCCTCTTTAGGGGGACTTCGGACGCAATCAAAATTTTCAGCTAGATGATTGCTGCCCCCGCCACTGCTTGACTAGACTCTATAACAAGAAGACTCCTTCATTCTTCCATGGTCTATTTGCAAGCTCAATGGCAAATAAGCCAATTTAAACTTGAAAAACCTGCCGAAACCACGTCATTCTGTTGTCACGAGTTTTTCGCCCCCCCCCCCATAGGATCAGCTGCTATCTTGCACTTATTGTCAACAATTTGCCCTCACACTTACCTTGTGGTCTTGAATAGCTCGACAGAAGTTGTTCGGCTCAAAAGACTTGAATATGATACCTGTACTGCCAACGAGAAGCGTGAGGTTAAGTAGACCTGGAAGGAACATTGCTTTAACGCGAAATCGTGTTTACGCCTTGCACCTTTGTAGGTACATACTGCTTACAAATATCAATAGCAGTATCATATAAATATGCCTATCCCGGAGATGGAGGGGGGTGTGCTGCACACCTCATTCGAACATGACGTGGGATGGGTTTTCTGTTAAATGTTTCCATTCGGGACAACTGTCGTCCTGCCGTATGTCCGAGAGGTATGGTTACAATGTTCCAGACCGGCAACATCCCACCAGAGGCGGTGCTGCCGCCACGTTTGAATGAAGTAAGCAGCCACACCCTTCCCATCTCCGGGGTATCGAGTGCACATGTAGAAAACCTGAACCCACCAAAGCCATATACATGGTAGAACGGAGAAAAAGTTAAGAGTTTCTCCTTTTCATAGTCCCAGTTAGGATCTATGACACCAGTGATATTGGTTGCTTCGTGCCTGAACGTCAAGTGTTTCACAGTGGTACTGCCAATGTTCTGAAGGTCAATGCCACAGTTCTGCGATGAGGAAGGGGGCTTTTGCACTTTCGCTGCTTCACTAGTTACGGTATATGGGTCTCACTCCGATGAAACCTGCGAACTTTTGTGAAACTGGAGCAAGCTCGTCGAGCTACTATTGTTGAACCTGTCAACTCCCGTCTCTAGATGGGTGGACACGTTGATGAGAAGTCGCAAAAGTGCAAAATGTCCTCCCGTCTCCGAACCGCTTTGCCAACTAATAAAGACACTTGTTCGACTACAATTAGCGCTAGTGCAAGTGGAGTGGCTTGGTTTGATGCAGCAATGATGAATTGCGCGCTGTTAAATTGTAAATTTAGATCCAAGGGGCTTCCAAAGTGCTGGGCAAAGTGCCAACAGAATTACAACGAACCGCGAATAAATCTCCATCATAGTGGCGAAGTTTCGATGAGATAGCATAACACCCTTTGGCGATCCGGTTGTACCACTGTAAAAAAAACAACTTATTTTGAAGGCTATGGATGAATTAAGTTGGTTAGTGGATCGGGAATCAGAGGAGAGATTAGCTCGTTACCACAAAAGTGTAGTTCCATTTTGCCGTGCGCTTCTGGGAATGCCGAGAGAGGGGAAAAAGTTTTACGGCCGGACAAAAGGTCCCAAATTGCCATACTTACTAGCCATGTGAACACAACTAAATATCGCCGGAATGCTAAATTTTGTCCCTTGAAAGAATCATCGACTATTCTTCCCCTTTTCTTTGGCCTTTACAACATCCAACAAACCGTTTCGTCAGTGGGCTCCACTACCTGAGAGGCCTCCCTTGTGAGTGAAAGTTGAATGCGGTTGCTATCAGACATGTCCGGAAGGGTAAAAACACGAGTTGTATATTGGCTGGATTCAACAAGTGAAGACCAATTCGCATAGAGGATGCCACTAAGTTACCTAACCGTGGTGAGTGGAGGTGGGGGGGGGGGGAGGGAGAGAGAAAAATCGAAATCGGCCAACGCTGAAGGTGCTAGTCATTATTTTTTTATGCTAAAGAGGAATGTATGCAGTCGTTTCTGCTGCAGACGCAGGGGCGTGGTTAGGAGGCTGGAACTGAGGCGGCGCCGCTCCTTTCAACCTGTGTTCATACTTTGCGATAACGTCCGCCAGCGAACACTAGCCTTTCGAGCGCCAAGGTCAACGACTAGGAAAGCATAGATATCGATCTAGTGGACGTCAGCGTCCACCAGAGGCAACTAGTTTTGCTCAAGTTTCAAAGTACCCAAGAGAATGCTACTGTACGCTTGTGGACGCTGCCGCAAAGTATGAAGGCAGCCCTGCAAAAGTTGAAGTGGGCAAGCGACAACAATGGCTGAATCGGCTAGCAGCGCGCCAAGTCCCTAAGCATCTGCAGCGAAAACGACTACATTAGAGATCTGTTACAGTGCGCACCTGGAATAAGGTAGGGTAATGATGTCTTTGTCGATGTCGATATTGACCTTCGGAATTGAAGATGTGTATCGTGATTTCACGACAACATTCCAACTAACGACGCCGGCGGGAACTGGATGGTCCTCAGATTCTGGGATGTAGATCACAAGCTGAAATACGATGTTTTCTTCTGAAGTTTCTTTCATCAATCAATGGAAAGATTTTGAATCCTTGATCTTCAGCGAGTTTTTCCTTCGTTTCGGAACTTTTCCATAATTTCATAAAAGAACAACACATGCTTCAACTGCGATCTATATTTATGAGTTGTTTCAGAGGATCACAAGACACATATTAAAAAAAAGGCCTCAGCCTCATTAAATTCCCAGGCACGGAACATGTGTTGTTTGCGACAATGAGAAATTGACTTGTTCGAATGTCAGATTCCCTGGAAAAAGGTTCCGCATAAAAAGCTCCCAAGATTTATCCTTGAGGCATTTATAATGCAGGCGTTATAGTTGCAGCTCGTTGCAGCTGCAACTCATTCCGCAGTGGCAGCCAGGGCACGCCATCGCGTTGTGATCATTTTCTGAAAATTACGACCCCCCCTAATTCCATACTAAAATACGACCCCCTTTTTGGGAGTTGGTACGACCCCCTCCCAGCCCTCTGTCCTTCCTCATCGAACCGAGCCGTCGAGCGGGGGGGGGAGGTCGTCAGAATTAAACTATCATTTTCAAGTGTCGGAAATAGTAGTGCGTCCGTGAACTGACCAAATACGACCCCCCCTCCCAAAAATGACCAAGTACGACCCCCCCCCTTACAGCGTCCGTGAAACAAGAGAAATCAACTATCAAAAAATTTTCTCTGACCAAATACGACCCCTCCCTCGCGGTCAAATACGACCCCCGTTGTGATGATCACAACGATGGCGTGCCCTGGTGGCAGCTCGCTGATAGTGGTGTTCAAATATGAATTTGTAGGTAGCTAACTGACTCACCAGTCGAGAGAAAAGCTAGTAAGTCTTTCAAAAACATTCTAACTGAGGCACGTTCGATTCGCAGCACTAGATGAGTGGGTGGGGTATGTGACGGTAGGACCACGCGGCGTCGCGCGCGACATTTGCTTACGATCGGAGCGCGCCTGTAATGGTTTCTTATGGCGACAGTGACATTTCGTTCCTATTTTCTCCAGCAGGCCAGCACTCCAACAAAACGGCAACAAGTACAGTCCTGAGATTATGCTGTCGGAAAGCATAGTCAAATGATTAGCTACATGCAGGTAAGCTATATTAACTCGCGAGCATAATGTGTACAGGTTGCTCTGCACCGTAACTGCTATGCAATCGCTCTAGTTATGCAAATAAAACAAATCTTATAGTCATGACAATCGAGGTCTTACCAGGGTGAAGAGCTTGGTTGAAAACTGAAGCGAATACAATCCAATTCAATTTCGCAATGTTTATCGCGAGCGTGCTCTCTATTGCAAGTCTGCTAGTCTGTTTGCAGATTGCCGCACGCGACGCCGCGGCTGCCGCGTGGTCCTAAAGACCCAGGTGGGGTGAGTAAGGATGTAGAGACGTTGGCCACTAGGGAGCAGAAGTCCAATAACAGCTGCACATAGTTGCGTCAGCAATAAAGCTGGAGCCCGTGTACATATTATGGAACTTGAGAAAGGGGCGATTAAAGTTGAAGGCACATTCCGCGGTCACTCATAAGACTCAAACACTGTCCGTGGGATTAAGGTAAGGTGCATCACAATAAAAAAACCTAGTACCGATTTCGCTCAGAGTGTAGTAAGAATGGCAGATCGGGGAAGGGCAAGGCACAAGGTTGCTAAAGCCGCTTCTCCTGACAGCGCAAGCGCACGCCGGATCGATGTCTGTCGCTTCTCTCTTTTGTATGCTCTTTCTCGCTACTCTCTTCTCGTCCTTCGCCCAATTTCACAATAATCTTCGCCTCTCGCTTGCAACAAGGAGACTATTATTTGAGCACTTTTCTGTTTTTTCTTCACTTTTTCTGAATCGGCTAGCACATGCAACTATATTTTTCAACCCCGCTACCTACGAAGTGTCCGACGGCTGATCATGAACTGTGCCTTTAAGTCATAGGCGTTCTTACTATGCTTTTCCGGGCCAGGGCACGTCGTACACAGGGGTTCTCTAGCGAGGTGGGAAGGGGCTGGAGAGAGGGTGTAGTATTTACAACCGAGAGAAAAGCTCCCGGCTGTTGACTTTCACCATTCTGTTTTGCAGCAAAATCTCTCTCTACCTCTCTCTCTCGCTCGCTCTCTCTTCTCTCCTCTCTTCGTCTTCGGACGGTAGTTTTTCTTAAGAAAAAATGGATAATTTGTGAAAAAAAAAACAAAAAAGCCGGCACGAACTTGGAAAAACACAAGAAAGTGCTAGGTGGAAGTGGGGTGGGGCTCACTTCTCCTGAATGCGATTCTTGGACACACCCACCTTGTAAGAAGGGCCAAGAAACAAGCAATTACCTTGACATTGGGACTTCCCTTGACTGCCTTGAGCACCTTGTCGAGATAATGCTCAGAAGTCAGCACAACTTTGGCACCAGAATCGATGAACTGCCGCTGTAGCTCAACTAAAAAAGTTCATTTCATGTTTGTAAATCTAGCGCTGAGCATTCTTCTGTGTCAAGGATCTCCTGCCCCTTCTCTTGTAAAATTCGGGATAAGCATCACTTTTTCATTAGCGTTGTACCAATAATAGGTACAGGCAAATTCAGAAAAGAGACATAAAATGAATCCGAGCGGGCGAAGCGTGTTTTGTTTCCGGAGACAAAAGAAACTAATCTGTCTTGCAGCTCATCCTTTTTCGACAAAACTATGTTCGACTTTCCTGTACATTCTCCTTATGTCCGTGAGAGTGGGTAGGTGGGCATTTGAATCACACAATAGAAAAGGCTACCGATGGGACAGTTTCACTTTTGAGACACACTAGCAATTTTGTTCGTGTATTGCGACAAAGACACGTTTACGGACTCTTACCAGAAAGGAAAATAGCTCATGAAAACCTTGGAGGTCTCACCTGCTCAGTTCTAGGTGCGAACCGCCGCCAGACCATATTCACCTCAGAGATTTTTGAGTGTATCTTCATGTTTTAGTAACCTTGCGCTGTCTGAAAAGTGTAGGGCGCCAGTGTGCAGGGATCGTTTGGCGCGGAACCATCCAGCATCAGAAACAGTCTAAGGGCTGCAGATCCCAGATAACAAACGGCCACTTTTGATTCGGCGGTCCATATCCAAAAGTGGCTTCCCCCAACTTGAAAGAGGACCCTATACGATCGTTGCATCCCTCTACCCGCAAAGTTACTGGTGTCGCAAATAGCTTGAAGTTCTCAGCGGTTGTGAGCACTTTCAGGCTGCGTCAATACTTTGCGGTGCCAGTGACCATTAGCGGCGCCGGTTCGAGCGTCCGAGTAGCGTCAGCGACCGGAAATACAGTGTTATCAATCATGGCGTCTTGCCAGCCGTCTGATCAACGTGCAGCAAGCAGTTGCACCAGCTAACAGAAGTAGAGAGTATGGCAATAGGCGGATGTAGGCAAGCTGAAGGCCGCGGCGTGTGTAACTTCACCGTACAACTACGCTACACCGTACACTCAACTGCATAATTCTGTGCTTTAGCAGTTGCGATTGCACACGCCGCAATTTCACAAGCTGTTCGCTACCCTCCTTCCCCATACTATTCCCCATACTCTGTGCACCCGGTCACTGGTGAACATCAGCGTCCACCGGCGACCATCAGCGTTTCGAGCGTCCGTGGAAGGCAGCGACTAGCAAAGTATGGATATAGCTCTAGCGTCTACCAGTGGTCTATCAGCGTCGACCAGCGTCCGCCAACGATCAGCTTCTCGAGGGGTTAGGAAAGTATGGATATAGATCTAGCGTCTACCAGCGTCTACCAGCGACCAGGAGTAGAGAGTATGGGGAAGTAGAAGAGTAAAGCTACCGAAGACAGCTGGATTAGGCGTAAATTGTGGCGTATGCAACCGCTCCGTACTACTACACAAACCATACTCCTGGTCGCTGGTGGACGTGAGTCGCTGGTGGATGCTGATAGAGGCTAGATTGATATTCATACTTTTCTGGTCCCTCGATAGTAGACGCTGCCCTTCGTTAGATTGATATCTATACTTTCCTCGTCGCTGACGCTGACGAACGCTCGAAGCGTCGATAGTCGCTGATGGACGCTGCTGGACCCTGGTGGACGCTGCCGCAAAGTTAGCGTAGCCGTAGATGGATAGATAGACAAAACAGAAAATATCGGGATGTGCCACTGGACTGTTACATAACCTAACTCTGGATGGATATGCGCCTAGGATAAGGGTTCAGGAAGAAGACATTTTTTTCATTTTACGGAGATCGTTGAAAAGAACTCACAGTCGGTGAACAATGCGGAGGCTCCAGAGACAGCACCTCCTCTCATGGCAACTCCGAGGAAGAACGCTGAGTAGTGCCACAGATTCGGAATCACAGCACAAGCAACATTCTTCTGAAAACAAAGGAATTCTAGTGAGCAAGCACAACTCTGGTAATTCTTCTGACGGTTTTATGACTATGACTTTCGTTTGCACGAGCCTACTGGCGTTATCACACATTGTGGAATAGCCGACCTCAAATCCTTGGGAGTAAAGAAATGCTGCGATTGCGTGTGCACTATCGTACACCTGTTTGAAAGTGACCGGCTCGCCTGACTTCTCTCCATTGATCTGGAAAAAAAATTGGAAACACTAATTTCATCAGCTCTTTATTTCTCAAAGTTCCTGTTTCACTGCTGTTTTCAGTTATCTTTTGAGCCATTCTATTTACTTACAAATGCAATTTTATTTTTCCCATGATCGATTTGATGTTTGACAGCTCTGAGTATACGTTCGTGATAGGGTTCTGTAGGCAATGCGACTGGAGCGTAGTCAGACTCAATCATTCTCTGAAATAAGGAGAAAATGCGACTAAAGTAGAGCGGAAAAGAGCGGCGAGCACCGATGTGAATAATGCATAATAAATAAGTTGACACCGTGTCTCAGGGCGGTGTCACAAGGCCTGGTGTGAGCCCACTAGCGGCATTTTCCACCCCTGCTTGTTTTTTCCTGAACCGATCGCTATTGGTAAAAGACGCAGCCGCGGGTGTGTTCATTCCAGGTCTCCTGACAACGCCGCGATGGATTTTGTCGACATCAAGTATGGCGTTCGAAATGTCGTCACGTAAGAGCCAAGATATGGGTGAAACGCACAATTTTACAGATATGAAGAGCCAAATTTGTCCTCATCACTACATCTGCAGTGAGACATCAACTTCATTTTCCCTTAAAAATAGGATGAAGAATTTCCTCACAAGGGACCATCCCCTAGGTAGAAGTGGCCACTTGCAATGAAGCATTCACTTATTATCACCGCGATTGTCGGGTCGCAATCAGCGGTTCTCACATGCGGCGTTTCCATCATTGGTTGTTTCCTTCCAAATCGATTTCTACCCGATCGCCATTGGTAGAGCAAGGGAGCCGAACGCGGACTCGAACCGCGCTGCTCACGCCGCCTCCGACAGTCCGCAATGATGAGGACTGTAGATCACAGAACCCGAACGATTCTCTGAACGGGGTATAAGGTTTGTTTGAATAAAGGGACACACAGTCAGGCGGTGTCTTGCGTGAAGTGGGTGCACTGCTAATGGCGCCATGGCATGATGGTAACAGTCTTGCTTCAAAGGTATTAGATGAAAGCCCAGGTTTTGGGGGTGGGACGTTTCTGCACTTTGTATAGAGTCCTTTCAATTTGGGAAGCACTTTTGGATATGGACCCCAAGTAAAAGTGGCCGTTTGTATTGGGATCCACACCCTTAGACGTGTTTTCTGATGCTGGATGGTTCGGAAAAAAGGGGCAGCAGTCAGTGGCGAGCAGTGGTTCTAGGGCCGGCTTGTCAATGGAGCTTGTGCCAGAAATGGCAAGATACGGCTTTATACAGGGGAGCGTATCTGTAGCTAAACATGCGTGGGCAGGAATTGAAAGGCACCCTATGGATGCTCCACTTCTCAAGGTCAGGTCAAAATGCCAGGCTTGGCCACAAGCTTGTATCTAGGAGTCGCGTGAGCCCACTACCACGCATATGACACTCGCCTGGCGCAAGAGCGCTTGTGGCCTGGGCCCACAAGCAGCTGTGTACCCTAGCCTTCGTTTAGATCACATGGCGTCCAACCGTAATAGTAACTGCACACAAACTCTTTGAGGCACATTCAGGTGAGCACTGATGCAGTGGTGAGGCTACAGCCACTTTTGCCATGTTCCTGCAATAACCAGAAAATTAAGCCTGGGAGAGATCTGATCACATGACCTGTCGCTTGTTAAATGTGTAGAAAAAAGCTCCATAACTTCGTTCAGAGAATGGTTCTACAAACTTCGAGGGCAGATTTGAAATCAGCGTTCAAAAACAGGTCCTCTTGCTGAGTCCTATTACAAATGGCCACTTCGACCTGGCGACCATCTCTCATAACATAGCCCCGCTACGAGAGAGGTTGAAAAGGATCCCCGAAGCCGCCAAGTATTTTTCTGGGGGGAGGGGGGGGGGGCGAGCGGAGGTGTATGGTGCATTGACCGGGGTGAGAAGAGAGGCTTGAATGTATCTGAATGGTGGATTAATTTGAATAATTTCTAAGAGAAGATGAGTAATGGTCAGACGTGCCGCTACTCTATGCACTACCAGAAACAGATGAACAGCCATAACCAAAAAAGTCTCCCCACTCTACCAGTCTATGGTTTTATAATCCGACTTTTAGTACCAATTAACAAGGCATGAAAGGAAATAAACGCTAGTTCAAATATTCTTTGGCCAGAACAAGTCATTTGTAGGGGTGAATACAGATAAGATATGTACTACACTTTTGAATGGAGAAGTTGTTGAGCACATATCAGCACGGTACTGAACACCGAGATTTTGCCAAGCGATTCGTAATTTATTCAAACATGCGACGGTACTTCCAAAAGAAGGAGCGATGGTTTCCTGAACTTCGTTTTTTTCGGATGATGTTCGAGTATGGAACCTCCTTTTTTCGTAACTTTTGTTGATGACGTTTCGGACTTGAAGGCAAAATTCGCGATAGGCCTGCGAAAAAATCGTAGGTAGTGTGGTTGAGAAACAGTGTCGTATGTGCTAATTCACTCGCTCATGAAGAAAAAGGAAAGGTAGCCGTCGAAAAGGATCCAAGTAAGACCTTACTGGAGCCACGAAAGGCAAACAGTCAATGTGGATATCGAGAGCGGCAGAGAAAGCAGCGGGAGAGTATGCAAACGAAGGAGAGCGTGAACAAGACATCTACCCAAATTGGGCGGAGTCACCTGACAATGAGCAACCTTGCGCCTTACCTTCGCTCTCTTGCCCTTTCTGACAACATGAGACTTAGGGATTGTTCACGCGCAGTTCACATTACCTGTCCAGACGAAGGAATCAGCTAATTGAAAGTAATCGTGGGCTCTGTCTTTAAGCCCCTCTTTAGCAAACTGAAAAACTAGAGCAAAGTGAACAAAGGTAGAGTACAATAGGTAATTAACAACAAAAGCGCCTGAAACTGAACTTAAAACGTCTCACAAAAGTTGGGAGCAAGGGCGGGAGGACGTAACCACCTTAAAATGGTATTCGCAGTTATATGGGAATGAAGGTTCCGGGTTTCCAACGTATCTGTTGAATTGGCTTTGGTCTCAGTTACTATAAATAGGGGTGTGCAAGTAAGGTGCTCAGGTCGTGGAGATCATTTCCGAAAAGACTAAAGGTTCATGCGGTGACCATAAAAGTGTCGTTCATTTTCGCTACGCGCTTCTGGGAATGATAAGAGGAAGCAGGAGAAAATTCTACAAGTTAACCTTTGTTTCGGCGGCAGAGAGTTTTTTCTGTTTTCTGGACTGAGTTGGGTGCTTTTGGACACATTTTATTCAGAAAAAATATCCCGATTTGAAGAGCGCAAGGATGCAAAAATTAATGTAATGTAAAATTTTGTCACCAGGAGATTAAAACCATCAGCTCTTCACCATCCATTTGGACTTTTCAGAAGCGCGCAGTGGGACTGTAGTACACACTAGTTATCTCGCATGAGCCTCTACAACCTACAGCACATCGCTTTGAACATAGGCTCCACGACCTGAAAGTTCCCTTTGTTAGGCTCCAGATGTCATCGGTAGAGGTAATAAAAAGAGGAGCTTCCACTGTATACTCAGACAAAATCTGGTACTTACAATCTGCATTTGGCAATTAATTACGATTAGATCGATTGGAAGGCCGCATATACGATCTCATCAGATTCATTGTTCATGAATACGACATTCACTTTTGGCGCTGGCGCCGTTTGTGGCCAATAGGCGCCTATTTAGCGCCAATACCTTTCTCACCGAAATCTGTGAAAAGTTGTATATAGGAATTATCCGACATTCTGATTACGAGTAAAACATCGTCTTTTTCGCTAGCGCCCAAATGGCGCCAACTTGACGCGACTACCTTCTCCACCGAAATCTGCTAACGTTGATCCTGAGAGGAGAAGTGATTCCCTTCTCGCCAGACTCAGCATTAGCAAAGCGCAGATGATCAGAGTGCCCTACATTGGCAACGGCGCTAAGAATGAATGTCATATCAGGGTGTCAAAGAACCCCCTGCATGCAAAGTGAGTATCGTATTCGTGATTAGCGCACTGAATAATCTCTCGAGCAAAGTTTCAGCGAAGAAAATGTTTTGAGTTTTTGGAGTAGTAATAGTGGAATAATGCCGATTTCTATCCTTATTTTGGTTGGACGATTTCACCGCGATGAATAACGATGATACACCTTTTCGAAAGCACTTGTCTGATCTACAAAAATGTATCGAAACTACTTCTAGGAATAAATATCCTCTCAATAAATAAATAAACATCCTCGCGAAAATATGCGGGTCCTCGGCGCTGATAAAACCATTCATTTAGGTTGACAGAGTGGCAGAAAGGTTATGTTCCGTCGACGCAAGGTCCGTAGGATAGGGCGAGTCCTGCACAAGTTCACTACAGTAGCTAAAGGGTGGTCCTGAAACCCTCACAGTGTAAGCGCGCACTTTCGTATTACTAAATGTCTGACTGCGCAGTAACTTGGTTATGAGGTCTGCAGTTGCTTGACCTCGCTATCCTGATGGTACTGGACCTAAGACGGTTCGCTAACCGTACCACACTTATCCTGCACAACAGAGCCTCTCCATGCCATATAATTCGGTCAGAAGTATCGAGGGAAACGGGTCATCAACGTTAAAACAAGGTCCGTTCTCAAGATTAGCAAACCAATGTGGAGCAGTCACGAAGCAGTTATAGCAACCCTTCAGAACAGTTTGCTCATTGCACAAAACACTTCGAACCCTGCCTAACAACAAGACTCTGAATGTAAAAGTGCCAAGCCTAAGGAATTTCCTTCAAAATTGGATTATCTTTTCTCGATCATTCACAACCGGAACTCATATGAGACCAGCATGAAACGCGACTGAAAAGAAAGCTTCCATGAGAAATTAACGATTTATGTGGAATAAAAGGCAGCAAGGTTTGGGCAACTGATAAGCACACCACCACAATCAGCTCAGTAAATGAGGAAGGTCGCGCCATTGCCATCGCTAAATTAGTTGTTTGATCCCGTGGGTGATGAGGCGGAAAGAAAGTGTAAGTGGAAAACGGAAAATTGGCGTTACACATAGTTTCGAAAACGGCACTGACTCGCACCATTAACGGCTCGAAAAACTCGAATTCAATGGAAAGTCTCGTCCATGAAGTAGGTAAATAAAGGTATCATGATCACGGATATGACGTCCTTTCCTAACACTGCCGCCATTTGGCGCCTGTCGACGGCATCATTGTCAAATGATCGCTGCAATCGCGCGATCAAGGCGACTAAGATACGGTAGTCGGATAAGAACCTGTAACAAATCCAGTCCGCCCC